GAAGCACTGACTCGACATTAGTGTAAGAAATCAGGAATTTGTTCCTTATGCTGATTGCAGTAGATCTCCACAGTGATTTCAGATTAATGAAGGAAGGCGTCTCTTGGTGTCTTTCCGATCCTGACTACGACGTCCACATCTGTGCCACCTGTAGTTGAAACGATGTTGCCTAGGTGGTAGGTGAAAGAGATAACTTTCTTTAGGTTTCTCCCATTCATGGTGATTGGTGCTTGCTGTTGTTGGCTGAGTATCTTCATCACTTTTGTCTTCTCTATATTCACTTGAAGCCCCGTCTTTGCTGCCTCTTCTGTCAACTTGTTGATTTTTGCCTGTAGATCTTTGTAAATAACACTAACAAACATAAAAGGTCAACTTGCTAATGACAAACAACTTAATCATTGTTATAATGAACCAGCATACATTAGATACTGAGACAAAAATTGGTTGTTTTACTATTTCACGAACGCACTAACAAACAGCTGCACAAATAAAGAACAGCTGATTGTAAAAGACAAGATGGCTATATAATCGATAGTTGTAATAATAATAATGAGAATAATAATAGACTAGACACAAGTCAGGTGAATGACTGACAAAAACAACGTAGAACCTCTCACACAAGTGTATCAACTCAAGTTGCCACACTTCACAGAAGTATACAAAGAATAGGTGTATAGAAGAGGAGTCATATCAAAGTAAAGTAGCGAGAATGAACAATCTGAAGATAAAGGTTAGTGTGAATATTCAAGTTTAAGAAGATGTCAAGGAGTGAATACATCTGAATCATTGTGACTGATTTCCAGCCATGTCACTTAGAGTGATCAAACACCCCAATTAGACAGTCTACATCTCACCATACGGCTCAGACTAATAGTCAGGGAATTCACTTACTGGTACCATGTCTTGGTTTGGCCACCCTTGAACCGTATTCCAACTTAATTCAACGTTCCTTATCATGACACGTCGAGACTGACGGTGGATAGGCACGCGAAGCACCTGTTCAAGCCACCTTAATTGACTAGGGTTCACAACCTCATCAATCGACTTGTCTTTCTTACCTAGTACCTGTTGCACGACCACAACATTTTTCATACAGTGATCCCACCAAAGGCGAGCAAGTCAGGTGAATAAATAAAACAGATCGTTATGTAGCGGATTTCCTCTTGACATCAGCTGAAGAACAAATGGGAGTCTGTGAGCAGTGAATAATTGCTTCTTCCTAGTTTGGGACTCAGCAGTGCAAACCTACGACTTGACTGTGTGAGGGGTTAACTTGGAAATCATCTGATCTTACCACAACCATGTTACAGTCACTGGTTTGAAAGCAAATGATTTACTTTTCCCTACTTCTGCCAATGTGCGATACAATGCAGCCATCATTCACTGTCATCGACGGGCACCAACCCTCAGTTCCGACTTGTTCAACTCCATAGGTCGCAACTTCTTACTAGAACTTTGGGAAATCTATTTGGAAGTTACTAACGAGTACTAGATGATAATTGCATTGGTAACTTATAGGTGTTGATTGAATTCAAAGGTGAATCATCGGATTACAACTCAGTGATTGAAAATGGCGGATGCTCATCACGAGACATGATGGTATTGAGCTCGACCCCTTATGAGGTTGTGGGTGCGCACTGCTGACATGCCCCAAACTAGAACCAAACAACTTTCCAGCGCTCCTAGAACTTAGACGGCTTGGAAACTGATATCAGTCTGTGATGGAAACTACTTTGAAATCGATCAACTTCTACCGTTTACACTAATGCACTATGTTAACTAGAGTAAGATTAAGTAATAAAAAATCCTGGCACTAGTATGTACAATCTAAATTCTGAACACAAGTGTGTAGGCTAGTTGAGGAAAGCCTTCGAGATGTTACGAATCAATGATTGGAGAATGTCATTCATATCATTCAAAACTGATTCAAGTGACTCAGATGTATCCACTCTTTATTATCTGCAAAGCTTTGAGCACCTTACAAATATTTTTCCATTTTTTCGTGCTTTCATGCCCATCATTTTGGTCTGTTGATTTAAAACGCCACCTTTTTGTATCAAATTCTGTCGCTTCACTTCCTCTTCTTCACTGTTAATGATAGCCAACTGTAGCATCCTTCATCGCTTTATGTTTTCCACTGCTTTTGTATGGTTCTAGTTTGTTAGATTGATGTGAAAAATACTCGTTACAACTGATACGCGAATATGATAGATACTAAATTCTTTATATACATCTACATGCTGCTCTGGTTCATTGGTTTAGGGAGATGACTTTCAACGAACGAGTCGCGGGTTCGAGACCTGTTACACCTACCGAGGTTTGAGTAACCAAGTAGTACAGCATTATCGGGCCTCACACAAGTGTGGCTCATTGCCTAGTTCACCCGTCTAAGCGTTAAGACTGAAACTCATCGACTGCACTTATTTTACAAACCGAGACTTTGTAAAATTATATAATTAGAAATTTGTCTCCTGAACTGACATTAATTGGATACCTGGGAGCACTGGTCAGTTTTTTCGTCCTAATATCGAACTCCTCAGCAGTGCACACCCATGACCCCGTCAGGGATCGATCCCAGGACACTCAAGTTCCGCAGCCAGCACGTTAACATTTAACCACCGGGTCGGATTCCAGAGGGCCATATTTCCTACTTCTATCAGTTCGCGACATAGCGCAACCTCAATCCAATGCTATCTGTCCTCATATGCAACTTGGTCAACCCCACCGGTCATTAAAACTTCAGGAATCACGTCTTGAAGCCAGTCACCAATGAGTACTAGATTAATTCGATTTGGAGGTCTGTGGAGATTTATTTATTGATTTAAGATTGGTATTCATCATGAAATGACTGCTAGCGGGGTCACGGAAGCGCTTCGCTAAGGAGCTCCATAACAGGATGAAACACCTGTCTGGTGCCCCAAGGTTTCCAATGATTCACCAACTGATATCAGTCCATGATGAATACCACCCTGAATTCAATAAATAAATACCCACGAATCTTAAAATCGAATATAACATTACTACTTATTGATATACTTGTAATTCCCCGTCGTTTTATTGGATCGAATTGCTCGGCTTCTATTGGCATATGGGCTCCTCTATGCGGACGCCTCGATATTGCCTGAATGTCAATTATGGTGATTTAGTCGGTTGCGGATAGCAGAGGAATCCAGGACGCGCATTTCGTCCCATTTGGGACTCGTCAGCTGGATGTACCTGCACTCCAGTGCGGAGTGTTGTCCCCACTGAGACTCGAACCTCGTACCCACCGCTTCAGACGCCAAGGCATTATCCACTATGCCACAGACAGACAATAGCCACTTCTTGTACAACGGGTAGTAGTTATTACTATTTATTGATATACACTTGTAATTCTTCGTTATATTTATTGGATCGAACTGTTCGACCTCTACAACATTACTGCTAACAAGCATAACTGGAATAAATTCACTTTATGATTGGCTGATAGTAACATCGTGATAAGGGATCAGATTCACAACAAAAAGTTAGTCTTTAAAACAATGAAAACATCTTTCTTCAGTTGAAAATGAACTTTGTATTGAAATTTTGTTTCAAAGATAATTGCAGTTGGCATGTATGTTCTTATCACAGTAGAAAAATCTTGTTCACGTTTTCAACATATCATTATAAACCCAGGGAGAGGTGGAACAAGCAGTACATAAAATAATTTTCATTAAACGTTAGGAAAAAAATTAAGAGAATTATAGTTTGCTAAAGAAACGGTACGTGTTTATAACCCCTTTCCCTACTACAAATGAATGTTGAAAAATGATGGAAAACTGATTTCCGGACAGTAACCAATTTAGCTAACAAGTAATAATGGTTGGTCTACACGTGTAGACCAAGTTTATAGTGTGGCACGATTCTAGTGCACTTTGTTTGGTGTTAAGAATGAATCAACTGGAATACCCTATTTGACTTAAGGTTATGTACCTTTTAGCACTCATCAAAAAGGCTTATCTGTAAGCCTGAGGAAACTCATAATGCGATGGAAGATTGGAAGCCGCATCAACCAGTCTCCAAGTCAGTGGATTCACCATTGAACTACTCAGACCACAATTGATTCCCTGTGCACAAGTTAGTCCATAGGTAGTAACTGTCATATGACATATAACATGAAAATGGAACAAAGATTTTAGACATCAGTAGAAATAAACAGGAGCATAACTTAAAAGGCCACCTTAGTAACTAATGAAATAACCAACTAAGTTCATTTTTTTGGCTGGATAGATAGCCTTTACGCAAAAATGGCTTTCCAACATGCTATAGGATCCTTAACTGCTGTCTTTGAGAGATGCTAAAGATAATCTTTTACCATGAAAATATTCAGTATACGCTGAAGGTTCATTGGGAAGTAACTGATATTCAGGGTGTCCTGCTGATTTCATCCAACTATGGTTGATTTGTATGTTCTAAAGGTTAATTTATTTCCCTTTTTTATAGGTTGATAGCATGGCTTCTCTACTGAAAAGTGTGCGTTTGCTGTTAAATGAGTGGAGAACACTATTAAGCGTTTTGATGATGTGTAAAAGTACTAGAAAACTAGATCCAAGGCTTCTAGGTGACCGATACCTAACATCAAACATTGTGCACTCTAGTATCATAACACTCAGTTTAGTGGTGAACATTCGGTGAACGGTTTATATACATGAACTAGTCTTATACAGGGTCAGTTCGGACCTAAATAGCTTCGTGACAAAGTCATTGACTTCGAATCTTCTAATGGATGAGTTCCTCCAAGGTTGAACATGGACCTTAATGATAAATGTCAACAGACATGAAACGTAAACCAAACACGGCTTCCTATCAATTGACTCGAAATACCCAGTATCAAAATCCAAGTATCCTGATATAGACTTATCATTGAAGTCAATCACAGCCATCTCTAGGCCTAATTGATAGTTGTAGTTCAATCTAAAAAAAAAACAGAAACGCATGCACCAATAAAAATCTCAAAATCTGAAAACTGGTAAACTAACCGATTCTCTTAGACTAGGAGGTAAAGATGGAAGCGATGAAGAATGTGCATCAACTGCACGCCCACAATGAGGAATTCTTTCTTTACTGCGTCCATGTTGAGTAGTGGATAAATAACGTCTGCCACTGTTGTTGTTGTTGTTATTGTTGTTATGACCATTATGATTCTGCATATTCTCTACAGTTCTCGACTCACCATAATTCCCATTTGGAAACTGAATTAGAAAGCAAAATAACATTATCAAAACGGTTTATAATTTAACAGTTGATAATAACAATATCTGTTTCTATTCTGATTACTAGTATCATTCCACTCTCCATCTGCAGAGGTCTCAGTAACGTTGATGCAGTAATCGGTGTAGTTCACGATTCAATACACTAATCTGTATGTGATTGGTAAATTAAATTATCAGAACTGCTAAAATAACTTGACTATGGCGAAACTGAGGTTTATCAGTAAAGATATTCAACTTCTAATTTGTGAATCATCAAGGTTTCTAACTTCATATTACCTACCGAAGTCTGTGGAACCCTCATAAAAAAAGGTGCAATATTTATTGACTTACATACTACTCTACAGGTGACCATTATGTTGCACTGTTTGTAGCACTTTTCAAGTGAAATGCTTGAGCAACTGAAATCTCGCACAGTCTTTTCTAAATATCTTTTTCATTTTCTATTTAGACACTATACACCACCAGCTGATTAAAGAAGTTAGTTTATGACCTCATCAGAAAGCATCGATCAGTGACATAAGTATGCGTAAATAAACGAAAATAGAAAAAAGTCAACTTAGGGGTTTGTATCGTAATGTAACAGTTTAAATAACACTTTGTAGTAATACATAAAGAGGAAGTTAACAGAAAAGGAATAAGAGAAGATAAGAAAGAAGATTGATGAAAACACTCAGAATACTTGTTATATTTTGACAGTTTTCGAGCCGTAAGACCCACAGTCTCCAAATACTGATTCATAACATCTTAAGATCTAAGGTTTCGTGGGCTTATACGATGTCCTGATCTAGTTCCATTTACTTTTCGTGCATCGATGTAGATAGTGAATCATCATGTACAACACCAAAGCTGGCCACTTCATTCAATGAGGATTCCTAAACTCATCTACTAACATCTCTTCCTTACCTAAAAGTGCAGGAATGGTATCAAGGAATATTGGTCTGAATAATACGACAAAATGCCAGCTTCTTGAAAATGTTCATGAAATATACTAGATCAATGGTCGAAGACCTCATATCACAGTGTAATATGTTCTTAATCTGAGATTTGTAGTATTACAAGTGGAATTCCTGGTTCCTATTTGCTAGAACTACAAGTTTCAGGCCCAAGTAGAAAGGACATGAATTATAATTCGTATATACCCACAATATAGCTATTCCAAGTAGTTTCAAACAATTAATGGAAACATTTCAGAGTTCAACTGAGCTCAGTAACATTAGATTAAGTATCTGCATACACGTTAGCATTTGAGGTAATTTTAAAGACCACCCTATAAACTGTTAAAATAATCAATTACGTTCCTCTATTCTATGAAAAGCAATCTTTCCAGTCAAAATTCTGAAATCTGATTGGTCAATTCACCAGTTGTTGAGTTGGCCTTGAAAGTCCTTCAAAATTTAGCTTCCAGATAAAATCACTTGGATAGACTTACTACTTAGGCACGTCCAATCACAAATAACTGTCTCAAGTCGATTAGCAGTGTTTTTTTTCTTCTATCTATATTATTCATCCGGTTCATTTCAATCATTTATTTCTCTCAATTATTTTCTGCAACAGTGTTAAGATGAACTAATGAACTACTTTACTCATGCTTATATTCTCAGGTCTAAGTATCTGTCCCTTACACAGCATCTCTTTTAATCAATCAACCCCAAAATGTGAAAATATATTCAATATTTATATTTTACGACCATAAAATCAGTAATAATCAGTTATGATGACAACAATTAAATCTAGCACTAACTTATCATCCACTAAAATTTCAAGCTAGGAGTAATGGCTCACAGGTTTGAACCCCAGTCTGCCTACTGATGTTTCAGTATCCAGATGTTATTAAATTTTTTAAACTAGGTATGCCTGAATGTCTATTACAGAGATCTCTACATGTTCGCTGAAAGATATATATTCATAAAAATGGAAGCGTTACTCAGTTATATGAAGAAATCAACGTAGTCCTACATACACGAATATTCAGTGAAAAGTAGAGCCTAACTTCAAAGCGCTTAAATAGAGAGTTCTACTGTAGAGACAGAACTTAAAATTCCAAATAAATCACCGTCCCAACCGCATCGTTTGACTTCATGGAGTAAATTTCATAGAGCACAACTCAGTAACCACGTGAATATTACGCGCAATGAATTACCCGCCTAATCAATTATGACTACATCTATCAAGACCTGAAATGAATTTAGAACACCTGAAGGTGTATTGCATAAATTCATTCTTACTATAGCTCCATAAATAAAAACTTCATCCGTCCATCCATCCAGATTAATATAGGACCAGGCATCACAGCACAACGACCCGAGTTGACACCCCTCATATCAATGCATCAAGTAAACAAGGGAGTCAAGCGGAAGATGAAGATAAGAGAATGCAGTCAAAAGAAACATAAAGTACGAGAAGAAAGGAAAGAGGAGTGACAAAATGGTGAGATTCGGTACAGCGTCGTTAAAATGAAGATAATGTCTGTATACATCTGCGCCACTCACATCGGTTCTCAGCCTTGCCACCACCTACAGTCTCCAACCACTGGTTTCTCTTGTCCCGCCGACCCCAACAACCTAGTCTGCATCGCCCCACATGGCTCAAACCAACAATCAGAGACTTCATACATTGGTGCCATGTTTTAGTCTGGCCACCTCGGGCCTTTTTCCAGCCTAAACCTACTTTGGCCAACATTGTGTGATGGACGGGGCAATCGGTGACTGGGCATACGTAGTACGTGTCCCAACCATCTAAATCGATGAAGGTTCATAACCTCGTCAATAGACTTACCTCTACTCCTTAAAACTCTACACCTAACTTCTGCATTACTCACGTGGTGACACCACGGAATACGGCCTATACTAAGAAGGCAACGGTGGTCAAACACCTAAAGCCAGCCTTCTCATGTCTTCCACCTTCAATAGCCATCTTTTACAACCATACAGTAGAACAGACCGGACTGCTGTGCAGTACACGCCACCCCTAGTAGACAAACGGATATCACGGCGGCACCATAGGTGGCGTAAATTGGCAAAAGCCAATCGAGCCTTTTGTATCCGTGCAGAAATTTCATCGGCAACTAACCCACCAGGGTTGATCCTACTTCCCAGATAAGTGAAGTGCTCGACACACTCAATCACTACACTCTCTATTGTTGGCCACGGCACTGCTGAAGACCAATCCTGGAACAACAATTTGCATTTGGATGGTGAAAAACACATCTCAAACATTCTCAAATTCCCACTCAAAGCGTCCAGAAGACTCTGAATCTTGTCAACGTCTTCACCTAGCAGGATTACGTCATATGTGTATTCTAGGTCTAACGAAAATTCTCCTGTGATTAGGTCAACGTCTGTGTAATAAGGTGACGAGAGGGAAACCTCCATAAGAATATCTATGATAAAATTAAATAAGAACGGAGATAGTGGGCATCCTTGACGGACACCACTTGATGAGTATAGCTCCTTGGACAACTCGCCATAGGCTCTAACATGCCCACAAGTGTTCGAGTAGAGAGCTTTCAATAAGGTGATGTACTTACTCGGCACGCTTTTCGGTGAGATACATTGCCATAAGACTTCTCGATCAACGGAGTTGAATGCCGCCTTCAGGTCGAGAAATACAGCTATTGTCGAGCGTCAGTGAGCGTACCTGTGTGAATATTTGGTCGACACATCAAAAGTTAGCTAACTCTGACTTTTCTAGTAGGAAATGAACATTAGTCGTTTGATGAAATCTTATAAATGCTAATTAAAACTATCAGTTATCAGTTAATCAATAATGACAAGCTACTAGAACAACTTACAAAGCATTTTGCATCGTTCCGTGGTGTATCTTGGCTCCAATAATGAGTATTTACAGCATTTTTTGACAGGAAATTTACATGTGATTCACCCAAGATTTCTATTGAATCTGTAGTATCTGCTTCAAGTTCTCTTTTCCGCTTTTATATGTAAGAAGGGGAAGAAAAGGATAAAGTCAGAAAACTTGAAATCCTTTAATGAAAATTCATGACAAGACAAAAAAGTTGGCTAAAAGAAACATTCCATAAAATAATGTACTGATTTCAGACGGAAGTTGAATTCGGTTAGAAGAGAGTTCAAGATGATCATACCAAGACCTGAAATCAGCCGATGTAGTCCCTAACTGTAGGTTTGTGCCATGTGAGGAGATGCGGACTGCCTGGTTGGTGTCCACGACACGAAAGAAATCAGTGGTTGAGGACTGTTGTTGACATGGCTGAAAATTGATCACAATGGCGGAGATGTATTCACTTGTTGATATCTTCTAAAACACTATCCGTTATCTTCATATTCTTTGTCCTCTATCACACAGCTTCATCTACCTTGATATCCACCTGTTCTTGTTGTACCACTGTGAAGTGTGGCAACTTGAGCCGATGGATGTATGTAGGAGGTTCTACGTTTATTTTGTCAGTCAGTCAGTCAGTCAACTAAGACCTAATAAATAACTATATATATATATATATATATATATATATATATATATATATATATATATATATATATATATATATATATATATATATATATATATATATATATATATAGTGGTGCTAAGTTGGGGAGACACATCTTTAAGCAGCTTCAGGTGAAAGTCTTTGATTTCATATGTAAGTTTTGGCACAATTTTGCAATACCATCCTACGGACTTATTTAACTCTATTTATCATCAAGCAACAGCTCAGGTGGTGATTGAAAGCAGGTAACAGTCTGTACCCACGTTGTTGTTATCGGTTTAAAGTCTTAATTGCTGCTTTACTTCGTTCATATTAACCTCTGCAGTTAGTCTCAGTATGAATCACTCGGTTGTTTTATCCCACACACGAAGAAGACATCTGTAGTCTTTTACGTTATCTACACTTTAATGGTCATATCTCACATCCGTATACTACAAGGGAGGAAATTGTTGGTAATAGCCGGTAAATGGATATCAAATCCTCCACATACATGAAGACTTCGTCAATTACAGGGTTGATCGAATCACTCAGTCAGTATTAACTACTGTGAAAACCAGACTTTAGGTATGAAGTACTCAAAACTAAACTATTCGCAGAAACAAATACAAAGGATATCTTCTCAGACGAGTTACGAATAAATGTGAATGATACTATTGGAAAATATATTGCAGCACCATGAAATACGCTACGCAGTCGAAACAACCTTAGTGGTTACAGCAAGTTGGACTGTTTTATCAACAATAGAAATGAATCGCTCTACTTGCGTAGAACAAATAAAGCATATAGAGATAATGACTGAAAGTCAGAGGAAACGTTCACGAAAAACTGTTACCAAACCAATCATTCCAGCTTTACTAAAATCTAACTATTCCACTTACCAGTTTGCCTATAAAGACACCTTGCTCGTTATATACTGGGTTCAGGATACAATAATTACAGATGACGCAGATGGGTACAATGACAACAAAAACATCATTTTAACAAGACAGACTTAGATTGATCTCAATTTAGAAGTAGAAATGAAGTGAATAAAATGTGTAGTCAAAAAGGGAATGAGCCGAACTTATTGTGCAAGGGCGAATGATACCACCACCCAGCTGCCTAAATTTTTCCTAGGTAGAGTGGGGCACGAACGCTTGAACCAATGGTAAAAGGTTCAGTGTTCAAACCAATGAACCATAGCTCCATAGAATATACGGGATATATTCACATCACTCAGAACAACACTAGAAGCAGTCACATGAACAGAAACAACAAAATATATGACAGTTGTATATCACAGCACGCTAGCAAACTCCACATCAGCGCATCTAGATAGAGATCATAAGAAATAATTCAAAGAAATAGAATTAATTACACTACTGACTACAACGAAAATACAGGAAAAATGAGAAAGGAGAAGAGAAAGGGAGACAATGAAAATATACCATACGATTCCCAAGATCAATCAATATCAACATGGAACCGGGCATTACTGAGTAACGGTCTCATATCAGTATACCAAGTAGAAAGATAGTGGGGTGAAGGATGAAGATAAGAGAATGCAGTCAAAAGAAACATAAAGTACGAGAAGAAAGGAAAGAGGAGTGACAAAATGGTGAGATTCGGTACAGCGTCGTTAAAATGAAGATAATGTCTGTATACATCTGCGCCACTCACATCGGTTCTCAGCCTTGCCACCACCTACAGTCTCCAACCACTGGTTTCTCTTGTCCCGCCGACCCCAACAACCTAGTCTGCATCGCCCCACATGGCTCAAACCAACAATCAGAGACTTCATACATTGGTGCCATGTTTTAGTCTGGCCACCTCGGGCCTTTTTCCAGCCTAAACCTACTTGGCCAACATTGTGTGATGGACGGGGCAATCGGTGACTGGGCATACGTAGTACGTGTCCCAACCATCTAAATCGATGAAGGTTCATAACCTCGTCAATAGACTTACCTCTACTCCTTAAAACTCTACACCTAACTTCTGCATTACTCACGTGGTGACACCACGGAATACGGCCTATACTAAGAAGGCAACGGTGGTCAAACACCTAAAGCCAGCCTTCTCATGTCTTCCACCTTCAATAGCCATCTTTTACAACCATACAGTAGAACAGACCGGACTGCTGTGCAGTACACGCCACCCCTAGTAGACAAACGGATATCACGGCGGCACCATAGGTGGCGTAAATTGGCAAAAGCCAATCGAGCCTTTTGTATCCGTGCAGAAATTTCATCGGCAACTAACCCACCAGGGTTGATCCTACTTCCCAGATAAGTGAAGTGCTCGACACACTCAATCACTACACTCTCTATTGTTGGCCACGGCACTGCTGAAGACCAATCCTGGAACAACAATTTGCATTTGGATGGTGAAAACACATCTCAAACATTCTCAAATTCCCACTCAAAGCGTCCAGAAGACTCTGAATCTTGTCAACGTCTTCACCTAGCAGGATTACGTCATATGTGTATTCTAGGTCTAACGAAAATTCTCCTGTGATTAGGTCAACGTCTGTGTAATAAGGTGACGAGAGGGAAACCTCCATAAGAATATCTATGATAAAATTAAATAAGAACGGAGATAGTGGGCATCCTTGACGGACACCACTTGATGAGTATAGCTCCTTGGACAACTCGCCATAGGCTCTAACATGCCCACAAGTGTTCGAGTAGAGAGCTTTCAATAAGGTGATGTACTTACTCGGCACGCTTTTCGGTGAGATACATTGCCATAAGACTTCTCGATCAACGGAGTTGAATGCCGCCTTCAGGTCGAGAAATGCAACTAGTGTCAAGCATCGATAAGCGTGCCTGTGAATCCTTGGTCGATACACCCATGGCCGGATCTAAAGGCCGTCCGGTTTCGTCGGGCTTGCTGTTCCCGAGCTGCACTCAGGTGTCGAAAAATTATAGAACCTAGGATCTTAGACACTATGTTCGTCAGGTTGATTCCTCTGTGGTTATCCCAAGGGGACTTCTCGCCTTTTTTGAAGACTGGAATGATCAGTGATTCAGACCAGTCAGATGGGATCGTATTTGATTCCCATATACTGGCTAACACTTCCGTTAACCTGACTAAGAGCACTCTATTACCATTCTTGTATACCTCAGCAGGTAGTCCGTCTGGTCCTGCTGCCCTTCCCGTTTCAGGCTACCTACCGCTTTCTCAACTTCTTCTAGTGTTGGGGGACCTGTCTCTATGTCCCATTCAGGGTCCGACTGGATAGCGGGCAGCGCAATGGTGGCTGGAGGCCAGTTAAACTGTTCCTCGAAGTGTTCTGCCCATCGTTCCAGTCGTCTCCCCTGCGAGTGAATCGAAGATCCGTCCTTCTCCGCTATAGCCTCACTAACTGTTGTTGACCATTTCCCCCCAGTCTCCTTAATAAGTCTAAATAACTGTCTACTGTTACCGATCGCCGCTGCCTTTTCCATATCTTTAGCCTTCGCTGTCCGCCACTCTTCGCGATCGTTGCGTACACTTTTCATCACTCTACTTTTAAGTTGCCCTCGCTCTTCATTGTACTCAGAGCCTGCAGGGATGTATCCACGTGCATCCATTATTTGGAAGAAGCTGCTGATATCCACTGGCTCTTTTCAGCCATTATTTTAAAGTCGGTTACAGTCTTCAGTGCTGCTTTTACAGCAGACTGAAGATGGCACCAAGCTTCTTCTGGATGAGTGACAGTCTTTCATTCCGATAACTGCCTAGCCAACTTCTCACTGAACACGGCTTTGGTGTTTTCGTTTTCCAGCAACACTCGTAGTGGTTTTGTTGCCAAATTTTTTCTACGTCCATTGAGACGCAGGCATATACGTGCTCGGACCAACGCATGATCGCTGTCCAAACACGTACTCCAGAAGGAGCGGCAGTCTTCCACCGATCCTCTCCAGCGATGACTAATAGCAATGTGGTCTGTGTCCATCGCTGAGTTGAGCTCGGTGGACGCCAGGTCAGACAGTGCCTTTCTTTATGTCTGAAATTTGTGCTGGCTAAAAATAGGCGGTTATCTGAGCATAGTTGTAATAGGCGATCACCGTTATCTGTACGTTCAGCTGGGATTCCGAAAGTGCCACCTAAGTGCCTTTCTGCCTCACTCAGTCTACCCACCTGTGCGTTGAGGTCACCTGCAACAACAACCACATCTGAACGTTTGGCTTTCGAGAGGAGGTTAGACAGTTTATGGTAGAACTCGTCCTTCACTTCATCCGAACTACAGTCAGTGGGTGCGTAAGCAGAGATTACAAAGAGACAACGGCGAGTCTCACTATTCCTTTTAGTTCTCACTGTGCCGTTCAGCCTCATAGCGCAGAGGCGACTATCAACTGGGATCCAGTCTAGTAGTGAGTTTTCTGCCCTGGTGCTTAATGCTATACCTACACCTGCAAGACCACGAGAGCTAGCTATCGAATCTCCAGAAACTCGAAGGGTGAATTTTGTGGATTCACCAGATTGGTCAGGAGAGGTCAGGTGAATAACCACACTTGGGTCCTGTATGCGTGTCTCACAAACACAGCACACATCCATGCCCGAGTTGCTAGAGTCTTTGCTAACGAAGCCTGTTGGCCAATTTGACGGAGGGTGCGGACATTGAAGGCTCCAATATGTAATTTGGAGCGTGGTTTAAGGAGACCAGGATGCTGTTCTGTGGACTCAGATCGTTGTCGAAGGCTGCAGAGGTAGGAGAAATTGAAGATGATGCAGCATCATTAATTAAGAGACGTGAAGGAAGATTAGAAGGTAATGATGGAGGAGGAGGATAGCAGTCAGAAGAAACTTGGGTGCTGACAGAGTTGTGAGGGCGGTTGACACTTCCCGGCTGCCCACACCGTGGAAGGCTATTTCTTCTTAAGGTACCTGAAAGAGATTTGTGTGACCGCAGAGCCCATCGGACATCTGCTTGAGGCCTGTCACACGTAGCCTTTTGAGTATGATTATTTTGAACTTTTGTATTTTTGGGGCCGGGGCCGGGGCATCAACATGCCACTGCTGGTCACCCAAGGGAAACACCTTACTGCTGCCACACCCCATCCAGCTAGCAGCAGTACGACTTCGCCCTCAGATCCCCATCATAGTGTAGCAATTTACACCACAACGGTAACTGCTTTTCGTCTAACCACTATCCAACAGACCTTTCTGGTATGGTAGGATCTCGAGGCAACGAGCGTCCCACCAGCATAGCTCGTTGGGTCATTGTGATATGCAAGGCCGACCACCACGTCAAGGTAGCAGCTATCGGTCGGGAAGCCCAAGATAGAAAGCGATATAAGACGGCCATGTACTTGTACTTCTATGAACAGCTGGGTCATGCCACCTGAAATCTACAACCATCAAGTTCTATGTTTACAGGAAAATAAAGACAGAGGCGAAACAGTGTAAACGAACAACCAGTGACTTCAGTGATTAGTGCTATGCCTTCATCTAACCATCTTTATACTTTCTGACTTAGAATTACTTTAGATAAGGTGAACTGCAACTGAAAATGCATAACACATATCTTAGTCACCTCAATTAGTGGTTTCAAACGGAATTAACAAACTCATCACTTTTATCTAGGATTCTACACCGAAGTTCTACATTGCTGTTGGGATCGTATATCAGACAAGCGGAGCTACGAAAAAGATGGTGCTTAAATACACGAAGTTTTTGCAAATCTTCTATGCTTACTGACCATATCTTAAGGCCACATAAAGGACCATTTAAGAACGCCTGTGATCTCTAAAAGATATTCAAATATTGATCCAGTGCCACAGATGGCGTACGTTAGTGAAAGCCAATTGACTTTTTTATGTGATCGACAGAGAAAGAACCAAACGAAAAATAAAGGTCATGAAATAAAAACTTTCAGGTTAATTAGAGACGTAACAGAGAAAGAAACGTAAGCATTGTCCAGTTCACTATTTTAATGGAGAAATCAAAATACATCACCACGAGAAATCTAAAGTTTTACGATTAGAAAATTTGCTGGGTAGAAAAAAACACCTAATCACATCTAACAGGAAATATAATGTTAGTAAATATGAGTAAATTGACACATAGACTGAGTAAAATGCATCATATACAAAGAGCATGCACTCACTTTTCGTCTGAATTGATTATTTTCACTGAATTCATAGTCATGTGTTCTTCGTCTTACAGTTTTAGTTCCATCCATTGATAATAATTTCGTTACAAGTAACAAGAGTACATAAAGATCTGAAAAAGATTTTACTAAGAGTCAGAAAACAGTTGAGAAGTATCGAAACAATATACTAAGTAATTTATCTTTTTAATGAAAGTTACAAAAAAATAAGATGAACAGCAACGTTTTATTTTTCAGTGGATAAAGTGGAAGCTAAGTGTCGTTAGAGGGACTAATTTAGATTTGCTGTAAACAGATAAGAGACAAAAGAGAAAAAAATATTTCATCAAAACGTAGTGTAGCAGGTAACACGAAAGTGAGGCTAACAGAAATCCTAAGAGATTTGAGTTTTACTAATAACCGCAACCAAATAAGAGACAGGAAATTGGTGAATCAACTTAACCATTTATCCGATACTTTGTTCATCATTTTTTATAATTAAGCTTCACACCAATCTTAAATAAATGCTTCTTGTACCACATCATCGTTTGTAGATTATCCTTTCGAAAAATGATGCCGATTCAAATCCTTAGTTTAAATTCATGACCTGTGATAATATCATCGTATAAATGTATGCATAAAAAGAAGTGTTTATTAATAAACCTAGATGACAATGTGAGGAGTGATCTTAAGCACTTGTTTTCTTCTCTACATTTACTTCCTCAGTAAGTTTGCCCCTTTGTATGTCTTCTTCCAAAACTCGAAGCCATACTCACCTGGAACAATTACACCATGTTTCAATTGTTGGGTGATAGTTATTTATTGATTTGAAGGTAGGTTTCGTCACGGATCGATATCAAACCAACAAATCCCTACATACCAACAATTGGATTACGATACAATGCGCCTCAATAACTTGCTCTGAAATGGATCTCTCGAAGTCTCAATACAAATCATGACATATAGGGTCAACCAAGTCGGGAGTGAGAAAGACGCCCACCAATGACATGAGATGATGGTTGCACCATATCGCAAATCGATTGGAGTAGGGAAAATGGGTTGCTGGATTCCAACCTAATGGCTGAGTAGTAAAACATTTTTCATAATCGTCCTAAACTTAATGCCTCACAACAACATGGGTGCCCTAAACTAGGATGAAACAGTTGTCTACTGCTTGCAGGTTTTTAACGATTCTCCAACTAATATCAATTTGCGTTTAAGTCACATTTCCGTAACATTAGTGAGCAGAACGGTTTGAAATCTTTGCACTCTACTTTCCAGTACTAGAAAACAAAAGTGGCTTTACTAAAGATTTAAAAATTTTAAGCTGTAAGTGATTTGAGAAGACGAAGACCATCTGAAACATGTGATGCATTTGTTCCATACTTTTCAAACAAACTGATCACAAAGAGACTACTCAAACTATCCATATGAAAATCCGTAAAACATCAATCGAATCCATTGGAAATATGACAGTATAACAACAAAAAGCGTAGAAAAAATATGAAGAGCTCGAACATTATAGTTATTGGATGAAAGTTGAAATCAATGCTACCAAGTAGGTGTAAAATGAGCGAAGACTTTCTTTGAACATGACTGACTACGTCCTTGATTAATGTAAGCGCTTGTTCTTGATCACTTTTATACAATACACTACAGGTCGTTTTAACATCAACCTATAACAAGTTTCTGGGATGCGTCTGACTATAAATTAAGATGAATGTTTGCCATCTGCACTTCACAAGCGTTTGGGGTTATTCATTTATAAAACCACTTCATTACAGGTTTGAGAACCCTTCGCCGTATATTTTGATTACTCCTTCCTGTGCTGTATGGGTGTTCACACATATAAAGTGGTTAAATTTATGGAAGCTATATCCATGCATAAGTTAAATCCACCTTTCGTATTCAAAAGCAGTTTTTAATCTTCTGCACCTAGTTGGTAGTACTGTTTCCAATTTCCATTCCATAGGTGATATGGTTCAAACTTTTGTATTTGTTCTGTCTTTATTATTTTCCTTACTCTCATATTTCCAGTGAACTTGAGTCACCATCAAGTTTTCATGTAAATAATCTGATAAGTCTATGTGTGATCAGATTCTTTGAAAAGTATAGAGTCAATGTACCAAGTTTTTCGGATAACATCTTCATATTATCTTGCCTTGGGTTATCATCGATGAGTACATAAATATGTGTATTTTGTTGTCTATTTAAATGATTCAGGCAAGCAGTGCTAAACGAATCACTAAGGAAAACTAGTAATACACTGGGGAATGAAAATAAGGTAAATAAAAACTGGTGGGTAGTACAGCTTAAAGTGATTGAGAATTCACCAGTGATTGGTAGTCCCCATTTGTTAAATTACTCAAAACTAAATTTAGATAATGGTGACAGTTATAACCCGAATAAGACATCTAACTCAGACCTTTAGCTCCAATTGAGACTAAGGTATGACAAACTTCTGCAGTTCAAAATAGTTACTGACGACTTCCCTTGTTGCAGTCAAAGATGTTAACTTCTCACTGACAGCTATATTTTTATGTAACTAGGAGATGTGAATGATACTTCTGTCATTTCTGTGTACGCCTGCATCAGGGCTGGTAATATCAAGCTGTACGAATTGAGTTCTACTGTACGCCCAGTGAAACTTAAATATGAAGTCGACTGATCCAGATCTACGTGAAAACGATATATGCACATCAATCGGCTGCTAGGTTAAGTCAACTGAACATGTAGTTGTAATTGGGATAATCTACCAGAATCCAGGTTACACAAAAATGACTTTGCACCGAACTACACACGCAACTGGAATAACACTAATAGGTGACGTAGATCCATAGCTCACCAAGTGAGTGGAGTTCACAGCTCCAAATTTAAGCAACTGCTCCAATAATAATCAGCCTTTTTCAGAAAGTGCTTTGGTCCAAAACGTTATTGCAATGAGTTTTGACTTAAAGTACAAACCGAACATCTCACACATCAAAGATAATAAGCACTTACCTAGATTAGTGAACTGTGACCGTGTAATAAGTTTCGCACATACAATTCGGATGACGACCCCATCCCATCTCTTCTATCAGATGAGGATTCAGAGGAGTTGGTGAAGTCTAATCTGTCCAGAGCTATGTCTCTTCAACTACTTTAGGGAAGTCTTCTCAGCAGTTGCATATGTTATTGCTCCGGCCAGTTTTACTAGAAATGCCTCACTGATAGGACCAATGCACATAAACAGGAGGGCAGTCTTTCGGCTGCTCAGAGGCCTTAATCCTGGAAAATCCCTTGGTCCTGACGGATTACAACCAAGGCCATTATCCTTCTTGAAATATATTATTGGCAGGCTGCTTGTCGAACTACTCAATATATCCCTACATCGGGCTCGACATCGAAAAAACTGAAGAGATGCTATAACCAGTCCAGTATTCAAGGCAAGTTATCAGCAACAGGTATTGAACTGTTGTTTTAATAGTCTACCTGTTATAGTCATCAAAGTATTCGATATTACCAGGAACAGAATGCTGATCCATATTAGAACCCATGGTCTTCTCGCATCGCGACAATATACATTTCGTGCTGGTAGCTCTAGCTTAACTAACCTCTCCATGGCTAGAAAGGAAGGGATAACCGTTCGTGAGGACAAGCTGCCCGCAGATGCATTTATAGCTTTGAGCAAGGTTTTCAATAACGTTTTGCACATTGGATTAATGAGGGATCTATCTTTGGCTTGACACTATGACACGGGCCTGATATAAACAGTGTTTATGGGATAAGGAAAAGGATGGAAGGGGCTACCTTGGGTCCCCTTCTTTTTCCAACTTTGTATCAAAGGGTTCCCATTTATAATTAAGTCCCCAATGTCAGCGACGTGAAAATACGCAAGGTAATTCGTAACGACGCATTACAAGCGGACTTAAATAAACTAGTCAGTTGGTCCAAGCTTTGGTGCTTACATATTAATCCTAGTAAATTTCAAGTTATGACTATTGGTCATAGCACCTTTCATCAGTATTTAGCAGATGGGACACCTGATGTTCAAGCAATTAGACTTGGGAGACTAGGTAACGGCTCAGAATCTATCTAAATGGCACAGATGTATCCATACACTTCATTTTGATCGTTAGAATGAACTTAAGTATTCTCTTAGTCCTCCTTGCTCTCTTCTGATAACTTTCTATTATATTTAATTGCCTCTTACTTTATCTTCCTTTTTGATGTGCTGATATAAGATGTGGCGAATTGGAGCGCTACGCAATGATTTCAGTCCCCGTGTTGACATTGTCTGTCTATCTGCCCGATCGTTAGTCACAACTCGAAGAGGTCTACACACTGTAATAAAGCCACAGAGAAAAGGTTGAATGCATTTTGGTCTCTTCACATAGCTTTCATATGATGAAATGAAGACACTTCGGATATTGTATCCCTCGTTTTTGTGACTCTACTTCGAATACTGCATTTACACAACCAGTCCTAGCTTCATAAAAGATCCTAAGATAGATGGACACGTTTTAACAGTCGAAAACAAGTTGGTGGCTGGTCCTTCTAACTTATCGAATGCGGATCATGTACAGCGAATAAGTCTGCCCATATTGTGAACTGTAAAATAGTGAGCCAATGTTAGCTTTGTATATCCTTTATAATCACTTCGAGATTGATGTCTAATTTTTTATCTTTCATTGACCGATTATCTTCAAGGTCATTACGAGATAGTCAAAAACCATGGTTGGGTCAACTCAGCATGAAACTAGGCTTCTAACATAAAGATATTCGACTAACTATCAAAGTACAAGCACAATGTGCTGCTGTGCGCTCTATCTTGTTATACGATTGTGAGACGGCCTCTGAAGGTAGAAGATATGCAGAAACCACAAGTTTTCAACCAAAGACGTCACTGTAGGATTCCTCACTTATGTTTGAATCTGTGTGAGCAATGTCGAGGTTAGATGTAAGGTGACTAAGTAAAGAAAGTAAATCAGTTGATGAATTTGTTAACCTTAACCAACTCAAGTGTCTTGGATGCATGTTTCATATGCTAAACCACAGCATACCTTGGTGCGGAATGTTACCCAAAGTTGGACTAGTTCGGTAGAGGGCTCAGGATGGTCAAACCAAGACATGGTATCACTGAATGAAGTCTCCGACTATTGGTCTGATCTGCTTAGGAATGTGTAGACTGCCTGGCTGGGGTCCTCTGGAAGAATCAATGATAAGAGAACCTTAGTGAAACGGGTGAAAATCGGTCACAATGCCATAAAATTATTCACTCGTCAACGTCCTCTAAAGTTTGAACATTTTCACTAATCTTGATTTTCAAATTTCTTTTTCACCAATATGTCTTAGTCTCCAAATATGTCTTTTTTTACCCACTTTTGCCACATGCTACTGTGAATTGTGGCAATTTGAGCGGATGCAATCCTATGAGGGGTTTATTTCGCCTATTTGACACAGTCAACCGATGGGACTCCTTTCTCAAGTGATTGGTATCAGATCTTTCGGTGAATGTATTTAAGGAGAAACCAGATCTTCACTAAGAAACTCACTGCAAGGATGAATTAGCCTGCTACCCTCATAACTGACGTCTGGAGTCATCTACCTACATAAGCCTAATGAATTTCTGAATAGTATGTCACATCATGAAGGCATAAGTTAAATTTGATCGAGTTTAGCGACATAAACAAACGACTTGGCTGATTGCCTCTCACTTTTCAGCTAGCTGTCAGAAAAAAGAGACGGCGAACACCAAAAAAAGCCATCGATGGGAGGATACGCGATAAACTCAACAGTGAAAAGTGTAAAGTAAAAAATAATGCATCCCTATGCCATTGTAACCTGGTTTCAACACCTATTTTCCCACCTTTTCGCTTAATTATCGTCTGTTTTGTCGTCTAAAAAGCAGTTTCAGTAACATATGACTGATATCGAGCTGCCAACATCCAACATCAATGGTGAGAGTAGAGGAAACATGTAGTTTTCCAGCTCTCGCCGTGACATCCCGATATCGAATTATCTCATCTCTCCGGTTCAAGAATAAAATTTCAGTTCCAACAAGAGGAAAAGTTCCTAATTACACTTTCCTTACGACACAGCTTGTTTGATGACTACTTATTCCATTGGGAGAAAAATGAAAGACTTACGGTATTTAGTTTTGAATTTATAAAGTGATTTGAAGCTCTATTTCAAGGTATTTAGACGATATGAAGAACGATGTAGTAATTTTCACCATACTTGGTGAAATAAGTGAATACAATGCATAAATCAGAAGTAACGTACTAGTCACAATAGGCGCTCTTTGCACTTCAAACCTCAAACTTCGCGTTGTAGAACTAGTGTACGATGTTTCTTTGAGTTCTACGTCTGTCTTATTGGAGTACGCTCTAGGTTTGGAAGGGTCACAGTTGTCTTCCTAGTTCCGAAAACCTGAAAGGGTAAGGATAATGGATTATTAATTAGTCTGGTCTCTAGGTAGTATTACAGCAACTGGTCTGCAGATGATGGAAAGCTTCTCGAGTACACCCCACCGGTATCGTAGGACTTAAGGTGTCCGTCTAACCCCCTCTCAAAAGTGTCAGGGAACGGGTCTGTAACAACTGCTGAAGAAATCGAGTTCCACAGCTTACAAACTCTAACTGCAAATGAGTTAGCACGGATCTCTGTACGTGCCCTCTCATGCTTTGCTCTTAATGGGTGGCCCCCCGGGTCCCGTTTCCGAGCAAAGCTTAGAAGGGATCTGTTGGGATGGAGTGGATTGCGGATGATGTGGCACATCATGATCATATTCCCTCTGGTCTTCCGGTATTGTACTGAATGCAGCTTAAGAGCAACTATGCGGTCTGGGTACGGTTTGTGCCGTAACCTAATCACTTTCTTTGTGGCTTTTTTCTGTACCCGTTCCCGGATGGCCATGTCCTTTTTCAATTATGGGGACATCACAAGCGACTTTTTTCCAGATGATGGTGGATGTACACGGTATACATTGTGGTGAAAAGAAAAGGAGTTAGACCCCCTAAAGTTTATGAGAGAAACCCCATGACTCCACCTACCTTGTTGGCTGCAAGGCGAAAGTTGACTCAAGCTCCTAGTGTGTCGCTCAATATAACTCCCAGATCTTGTTACATGTTGGAGTGACAGATATTTATTTTACCCAGATAGTAAGATCTGGGACTACTTTCATAATTGTCAACTATCATCACCTGACACTCATTCGAGTTGGGAGGAAGCGAGTTTTCTGTAGTCCAGTTAAGGATCTTCGTAAGGTCTTCCCAAAAGACAGAAATATCTGTTGGCACCTGTGTCTCCCTCCAAATCTTCAGATCATCGGCATACAATAGTGAATGAGAACTGCGGGCTCCTGGTAGGTCACTGATAAGAGCAAGAAATGGTAGTGGGCCCAGAATAGAATCTTGAGGCACACCACTCAGCATCGGGAACCGGTCAGATAGAGAGGAGCCAACTCTGACTCTAACCTGGTGTAAAGGTAACCTCTAAGCCAAATTAGTAATTCTCCATGTACACCCATGGGCTGAAGTTTCCTACACAGGACATCACGATTTATCCTATCAAAGGCCATAGAAAAGTCAAGTAAACCAACATGAATGGCCTTTTTCTGCTCAACAGAGAAAGTCCGGCTATTCCACGTAAAAAACCATGTTGGCGACCGTTTAGGATCGATTTCTTGGGTGAGTGGTCACGAAATGAGTTATTTATTACTCTCTCCTTGACCTTCGCAGCTAAACAGATCAGGAGATTGGTCTGTAGTTGGAGACACCTTTATGTATTGGGACGACAGCCACCCGTTTCCAATCAGAGGGTAACCTGCCTTCCAGGAACGATCGTCTGAAGAGGTTTGCTAGAGGGGTCCACAGAGCTTCAGCACACTCTTTAAGTACTCTTGGGTGAATCCCATCAGTTCATGGAGACTTATTTGGGTTCAAATTCCTTAATGTTTCCGTGATTGGAGAGGGTTTGAACTTTATATGGTTTAGCCCCTCTCTAACACAGGTGTCCGACAGATGGGTGGCTTTCCCTCTCAGGTGACAGAAGTTGTTTCGGAATCCATAAACTATTAAGTTTGCTACCTTGGAGTTAGGGTGAAAAATGGTTAAACCTTTGGGATCCTGTACACTAAGCGAACGTTTACTCTTCTGTTTCATCGGCGGGTACAGCATCCCATGATTCCCCTCCAGCGTTCTACACAGTTGTCTAGTAGTTTATTCTGTCATTTCCGATTCTTATCGTACATCCGTTACGGATGTCTTTGTAATTTAGCCAGTCAATAGGGCTATTAGTGTCCCTCCATTGATTCCAAGATGACCGTTTGCTCCGTATAAGTTTGCTGGTGCTTGACTTAAGCCAGGAGGGGTAAAACCTGTTAGTCGAGAGCGATCCGTGAGGGCGAAGGGGATTAAGGGCAGCGTGATACATCATGATCATATCCCCTCTGTCCCTTCGCACTGTACTGGATGTACCTTAAGAGCAAATAAACTGTCTAGGTAAGGTTTATGCTGTAACCCAGTCACTTTCTTCGCTGCCCTTCTCTGGACCCCTTCTAGGGTGCCTACGTTCTTCTTCAAGCATGGGGCATTACTAGTGGACTTTTTCAAGATGAGGACGAATATAGGGCCCATACCCTGCGGGCATAAGGACCAGAGTTAAACTCCCTAAAGTTCGCGAAATAAGCCTAAAGAGTTCATAGGCCCCGTTGGCTGCAAGGTGACGGGGAACCGGAGCTCCAAATTAACTTCCAGGTCTTTCTAAGTGTTTGGGTGACATATTTATTTCGCCCAGTGAGTAAGAACCGGAACTGTTTTTATATTTGGCAACTATCATTATCCCGCATTTCCTCAAGTTGGGAGGGAGCAAGCTTTCTGCCGCCCAACTCTTTATTTTTCGCAAGTCGTCATACTAACATTTGGAATGGACTTCCGAATGGTGTCCGATGCCGCGTGACCATATCCCAGTTTCAATCAACCTTGAGCCACTACATCGATGAATTCGGAGTATATAGGATCCTTGATGGACCTTACGTAGACGACAACATGTTCCTTACTGACCCACCTAACATCTAGAGCCCAACACGCAACAATCTAAAGCAGCTACCTAAGAACACTGCCTTTTTGATCACATACTATTTTCATCTCCCCCAATTCCAGAATAGCAAGCGACTTTAGTGTAAAAGGTATGGTGCACTTGATACGCCAAAGCCAAGGATGTACGCCTGCGGCCTCACAATACATTTAGGAAAAGGCGCCACCCGTTCAGAAAACAGTCCCAGATTTGTAAAAGCCAAATATAAACGGATGGAACTCGGCATATACGTTTGATGATTATCGCTAGAGTTTAAGCTTGACTGACAGCAAGAATCAGACTGACATGAGCGAGCGGAAACACGGAGTAGGTGGCCAAGTAACAACAAAATGGGATTGCCCGTTATCCTTACGAGCAACTTCCGTAGTGAATATGCCCAAAGATAGCAGTAGGTCGAGAAAGCATGGGAGTGCATTGTGTCACCCAGGATTTTATGATCCATAAGTGATGATAATTTGTTCTCGCAAACACGAGTACACACCAGTTTACAGGCGTGATTATATGCTTGGACCAATTTGAATATTTTAGTTGATACAGATTCAATGCTAGGAGGTAATCAGCGAGCCTAAATGGGTAAAGTTAATGCACAGAATCCAATGAAATAGCGGATAAGCGAAGCTTCTACACTTTTTACTTTTCAAGTGGATGAATTTCTTCTGTGATTCTCAAAAGAAAGGAATATAGAGCTGCGAAGCGTGTGAATATGAGTGCTTTTTGGAACAAAGAACTCACAAGTAGCATAATAGTAATAGTTTGGCTGCATAAAATGTTTGTCGGATGTGCAGTCACTGGTAGGCACATCACTAGGATGCTGTGGTGGTTTTTGAGTATGTGGTTTCAGATTTGAATAAAACCGGCGAGCCCTATGAAATTCTGGGTTAAGATATTGCTTCCGTTCTTGTTGGCTTGGTTTTGGGCGGGGAAGAATGTTGTTTTCTTGTAGTAGTTCAGATAGGTGGGACATCATTTTCACTATGCCTGATTCTAGAGTAGCATCCGCAGAGGGGAAGAGAAAACAAAAGGCGAGAGAACACGCTAGGAGAAGACCGGGAAAATTTAGCAAGATTACTTTACGGAAGCTGGGAATCTTAACCGAGAGGATTGGCGGCATATGTCACTAAAAATAATAACTGTGACAACTTTGTACGTCGCACTATGTCATGATTCAGACAGCAGTGACGATCTTATGACGTGCTTTTGTACATTAGTACTCGTTCTCGGTTTAATTGGCAATAGATTTGCCGATGTGAAACATTCGAACAGTTTGTAGAAACGACTGTTCACGGATACCTTGAAATAACAGCTTCTATCGGGTGAGGCTTAAATTATATTGTGAGTGTATTTAAAGAGAGAAAATATAACAGAAAGATGAGGTAACGGTGGGCTCCGTGGTGGCAGTATGGAAATTGGTGGGAAGGTACATGAAATAAAGCCAAGTGTAAGGCGGAGGTTTGAAGGCAATCACCATCATTTAGGGATAGAAACTGGAAAAGAAAGAAGACCCAAGCACTAAGTAGCTGTGTCGTTTAATCAGCATTTGTAATGTAAGATCGTAGTAAACTACTTTGTAAGCACATGGACCCATGAGACCCGGAAATTAAAATGGTTGTGACGTCCCCTTACAATATGTATGATCGTAAACTATTAGCTAAAACCGGGCTCTGTGAGACCAACCTGAGATGTAATTTCCCCCTCAATAAGTCGTCTCACATCCAGACTAAACCTCCTGAGGAAAAACGTGAAGCAAGTTCACTACTTATGCTTTGCTCCTCGCTTAATAAGCTCCTCGTAGATGATGAGTTTACCACTACCTCGGCCACCACCTATGCATCCATGGCTGATGAAAACATATCAGGTCCTCTAAAAGTGTAAAGTAAGGTTATCACCGACCTCATGCACTTTTACCCTAAAAAATGTTTACACAATGTGTTTGATTCCTATTTCGCCAGCCCGGATTGCGTAGTCACTAGAGTACACACTGGAAAAGTAAAAATTCACTTGATGTAGAGTCAGCTTTCTCCGTACATCTACCAATAAACACCACATATGGAAAACTTTTAAGTAAGAAAATCGGAAGAGTTACTTTTGTTTACTTAAATTAGCGTATATGTATGGCTGAAGTGGGTCTAAGAAGATAGAAATTTCTCTCTTCCCAATTTGTCTTGCGT